TTTCAAAGTGTCCTCATGCATCATCCTTTACAACTGATCCTGAGATACCGATAGGACATATTGCCCTTTTTATATTCTGACCTGTATGACATATTACCTTCTTATATTCTGACCGGTACGACATATTACCTTCTATAATCTGACCAGTACGGCCTATTGCCTTCTTATATTCTGACCGGTGCGGCCTATTGCCCTTTTTATATTCTGACCGGTTCGACATATTACCTTCTTATAATCTGACCGGTACAGCCTATTTCCCTTCTTATATTCTGACCGGTTCGACATATTACCATTTTTTAGCTCGCCTATCTGACCGGTACGACATTTTACCTTCGAGTATTATAATCTGACCGGCCCTTTTTATACAGACCGGTACAGCCTATTTCCCTTCTTATATTCTGACCAGTACGACATATTACCTTCTTATATTCTGACCGGTACGGCCTATTGCCCTTCTTATATTCTTATCGGTATGACATATTGCCCTCTTATATTCTTATCGGTATGACATATTGCCCTTCTTATAATCTGACCAGTACCGTACGGCATATTGCCCTCCTTATATTCTGACCGGTACGACGTATTGTCCTTCTTACATTCTGATTCGTAATATCAAGTCTTAATTAAATTGCCCTTTTTACATATTTTTTTTTTTAATTTTTAATTTTTTCTATATAATGGAATTAGCATTTGATATTTCTTACTTCGCAGAAAGTCTATTCTTGTTCTCCTTTGTCTTGCAGAGAGGTCAGATAAATCTGTGCTGGTTTTGTTGTCATACATAACGCTTATTTTGTTTTGTACATCATATAAAGGTAGGTTTGTCTGTATTCTTGATTTGCAATACAAATGTATAGTTAAAAAACTCTCTGCGGAGCACAAGGCCGAAAGGAGGACTGATAGGTTAGCTCTGGGACAGAGTTAAGCGAGGCTTTTCAGTTTGATGCTCCTGCATTTTAATTTCTTACGGATTTAGGTGTCGTTTTGGTCCCGCCAGGACTACAGACAACACGTGTGGCGGTGCTGAAATGCCAGTTTCGTGTGAAGAACGCACGAAAGGTCCGCCACTGGTATATCATGCATATTTAATGGTCTGTAGATTTTGTGTTGCGTGGTTAATGAAAAGTATTATTATTAAACATTCCTGCATATCTTATCAGATTTGCTTTTATTTTGACCTCTAAACCACAATCATTTCATAGAAATTAATCTTACCTTAATACTGTCTAATTTAAAAGACAAAAATCTTTCCTACCCTCTTTTGAAATAATTATTTATGAAACACGTTCAATTAGGAACCTACCCTTGTTGTGTGTATATAGGAAGGAACATTCTATATAAATTCTTAAAATGTTACTGTTAAAAATATTTTTTTGAACAAAATGGGTTACTCATATTTTTAGGCAAATTTAGAAAGGAAATAAATTTAAGACTTGGAAGCAAACTGAGAGTCCCTTTCCTATTTCCTCGTCTATTTGTACAGTTTGATCCTCTCACGTTAGCTTATAGGTCTGCTAAAGTTACTCGTAGACCTGTATCAAAATCCCCCGAGTATTTCCAGGGACCATTCATTGCTTTATTTGGAATCGATTCTTTGTTGTTATGCAAAATTCCCAAAAATAAAATACATGAAGATTAGAGTACCGTCAAATGGATGGAAGGTGAGGGTGTGTGTGTGTGTGTGGGGGGGGGGGGTAAGAGATCGAGGAACCTAACCAATGAAATGGGGTTTTACATTGCTCTTATAGTTTTTTAGCTCACCTGAGCCGAAGGCTCAAGTGAGCTTTACTGATCACATTTTGTCCGGCGTCCGTCTAGCTGTCCGTCTGTAAACTTTTCACATTTTCGACTTCTTCTAAAGAACTGCTGGGTCAATTTCAACCAAACTTGCCACAAAGCATCCTTGGGTGAAGGGGTTTCAAGTTTGTTCAAATGAAGGGCCACGCCCTCATTCAAGGGGAGATAATTGAGAATTTGTGAAAATTTGGTGGTATGTTTAAAAAATCTTCTTCTCAAGAACCACTGTGCCAGGAAAGATGAAACTTATGGGGAAACATCCTCAGGTAGATTAGATTCAAGTTTGTTCAAATCATGCCCCCGGGGATAAGGCGTGGCCACAATGGCCGACCAAAGTTTTACATAGAAATATATAGGAAAATTCTTCAAAAATCTTCTTCTCAAGAACAACAAAGCCATTATTGCTCATATTAATATGGAAGCATCCCCAGGTAGTGTAGATTCAAGTTTGTTCAAATCATGACCCCCAGGGATAGGGCGGGGCCACAATGGCCTACCAAAGTTTTATATAGAAATATATAGGAAAATTCTTCAAAAATCTTCTTCTCAAGAACAGCAAAGCCATTATTGCTCATATTTATTTGGAAGCATCCCCAGGTAGTGTAGATTCAAGTTTGTTCAAATCATGACCCCCGGGGGTAGGGCGGGGCCACAATGGCCTACCAATGTTTTATATAGGAATATATAGGAAAATTCTTCAAAAATCTTCTTTTCAAGAACAGCAAAGCCATAATTGCTCATGTTTATATGGAAGCATCCCCAGGTAGTGTAGATTCAAGTTTGTTTAAATCATGACCCGGGGGTAGGACGGGGCCAAACTTTTAGATTTAATCTTTTCAACAGTAAACCAATTTCTACTTTTTCCTAGCCACAATGCTTGGGTGAGCGATGTGGCCCATGGGTCTCTTGTCTTTTTTGGTTGACCCTTTTACTACATCTTATTTATTTTACAACCCCCAGGAAGAGTATGCTATATCCATGAAATGTTCTACTCAAAGTCATTGTAGGGATCGCCATTTAGAAAATGTTCTGAAATCCTTGACCTTCGTTATACAAAAAAGTTTGTAGGCAAAGAGAAGTAACTCTAATGTTTTTAACTTTATGTTATAAAAACACATACTTTCTACTTTGTTAAAAACAATTAGATATAATTTCACACTCATATTTTTGACAGCATTTTGGTACGAATGGACATTGTATCTAATACTTTTTTAAATGTCCAGTAGAGCAATCTCTGTTTTAAAAAATATCACTATAGAATCTGCGGCGCAACTTTTCTTGGATAGAGTCATTCCTGCTGCAACAAATCCCAGCATCACGCCATGTTGCAGTGGAAGTCAATTTACATGTTTTATATGTTTGCCCGTTGTTTGGCGTAATTTTCAACAGAATTTATAATACATATATGAAAAAATATAACTTCAATTGAAAGATCAAGGCTCCTTTATTTAGGCCCTTTTTGAATAATTGATTGTTGAATATTGACATGACGTGTTCAGAAGGACTATGGTTGCAGGGTTAAGGACATCATATGCAACGTACCTTATCTACGGATACTTTTCCAAGATATTCCTAATTCAAACTTATAATATCATGATCTTAGAAAAAAAATCAGCATGCGTTACCAGGGGTTTTAAAAAGATATGGAATTTTGAAAATATTTGCATTATTCAAATAAAAATGTACAAAAATTATAAGACATAAATTTCAGATTTTTTTCATAAAAAATTGTTTAAGAAGAGGTGTACAAATCCATATTTAGAGATAAAAAAAAATATTGCACACAGGTCCTTCATTTAGTGGAACTCTTCCAACTCCAGGGAAGAATCCAAAAAAGTTCAAACTACGTTGGGTATGACCTTAAGAAGAACATGGACAAGATGGAGGATTGGATGGATGGATATCTAGGCACAGTAAATATTTTGTAATTAAACAGTTTGAAAGCCATATTCGATGTTTATTCATAGGTTGTGGTCTGCACCTAAAAAAACCCCCCAGAAATCTCTGACAGGACGGTCGCTCTACTGCTTTATTGTTATAACAAAGGAAGATAAAAGTAGCATTTGAACCAGAAGCAAAACCTCAGAATTTTAAAAAATACCATTGGTTTAGTCTTTTCTAGGCAAATATTTATTGCAATCAAACCAAAACTGTAGGTTGGTTGTATATTGTTTAAAGTCCCTCTCCAGAATATTTCACTGATATGGAGACGTCACCATTTCCGGTGAAGGGCTGCAAATTTAGGCCTATGCACGGCGCTTACGGCCTTTGAGCAGGGAGGGATCTTTACCGTGCCACACCTGCTGTGACACGGGGCCTCGGTTTATACGGTGTCATCCGAAGGACCGCCCCATTTAGTCGCCTTTTACGACAAGCAAGGGGGTACTGAGGATCTATTCTAACCCAGCTCCCCGCAGGAACCAAAACTATAGGAATATCATTTGAAAATATATCAAAGAAATGTCTATTTCTAGTAACCATGGCAACACCGATCATCGAAATCAAAAACCGATTATAGAATTATGTATCTTAGTCTGGTCTACTTGTGTGTCAATTATGTTGAAATCAGACCAAAACTGTGGGAGGAGTAGCATTTTGACAATATTTCACAGAAATTTCTATTGTATTGTTTACAGATGCACAGACAGACAACTGGACGGACGACAGACCCTTAATATTGCATAAGCTCTTCCACTATTAGAGCTATAAAAATTAAAGAAGCTGCTATAAAAATTAAAGAAGCTGCGCATTACAGTAAGTTTATTATTAACATTTAGATGAGAATAAAATTCATTTAAGGAACAAATTACATGTAATTGATAACACGTGAAACTGAACATTTCTTTAATCAATTACAAATGTCCACTGATTTGATATACAAAATATACACTGAAAACTGTAACAACTGAATTGAACAACATACTGTAAACTTATGACATTAAGCTTTGTATATTTTCTAGAACATTTGGAGGTTAGAAACTATCGCTTATTCAAGTACACTTGCTAAATGTCTTGTACTTATATTCAAATACGAACATTAGGACATGAGCTAAATCAAATCAAATCAAATCAACACCAACTTGTCCCAAATTCAATTTTCGCCAAATATCGCACATGCTGCATATATAAAACGTTTACAGTACATGTATTACATATCATGAAGTATATATAAACAGTTATATATAAAACTGCATATGTATATAAACATTTCCACAAAAGTTAAAAAAAAATTAGATGATCTAAGTATATGTCTGAATATGTACAACGATACGTTCAGGTTCATTAGAAAACTTTGCAATATATTGAAAATTAATGCTCAAAAACTTCTGTATATGTACCTTAAAGTAAAATGAATGATAAGCATCTCTATATTTGTTTTTATTATGTGATTTATTAAAAAAATATATATAAAATAAGAAATATTCTGACTCTTTTAAATATTTTTTTTAAAATTCTTCCTTTTCTATTTCAAAGATTTCTTTGTTTTAATTGTAAACAAATGTAATATTATATCATGCATCATATTTATAAATAAATGAACAATACTTGAAAAGAAAAACCATGAAAGACAATTGAGGGCAACAAAAGAGTAAAGATAAAGAAAAATTAAGCATTCACACAATTTAGCAGCAACTCATGATACAAACTTCTTTTCAACCAAACAATTGACGCATTACAGCCATAATATAAAATATTGAAGTATGGAAACAAAAAAAGAACCCTTCTCTTAATGTCAAGAATGAACAGGTAAAATTTAATTATTTGTAGAGAATGACAGTTTCCACTCAATGCCATTTGTGACTAAAATTGTTTCAATTTTGCAGAATGATTCAAAATGAGAGTGGATGCACTAAGTTTTTTTTCTTTTGCATGGTGAATTGGACAATTTAGGACCATTACACGCTTAGCTTGGACTTTCAATAAGGCGTGGCATTCTCGATGTTACCTAATTATAAAAATTAGCTTCTGAAATTTACACAGCTTCCCGTCACTGTTGAAATATACATATGATAGAAATGCGACAGAGTGTTAACTGATATAGTAAATAGCCAATTAAAAGTTTCCTCACGGTACAGAGGTGGGGCATAAGTCGTCTAATCGTTATCAACAACAATTCTAAGTTCCCGATGTTATTAATTTCGTAACCAATGAAAATCTACTAGTATTCACCATTACGTAGTGCCGAGAAAGTTACGCCCTACTGAAAGTCCAAAGAAAGGGTAAAATCGTTCTATATAATATACAACAACATATACTGATTAAAGACTGATCTCTTTCTGAAGCAAGTCTTAATACTTGTAAATAATAACAAATCAAAATTTCAAGACACCTTTTAAAGAGAGGGTATAGGTAAAACATTGCGTACAATGTCAGGACATAAGCTCTTATTTTTATAATTTTTTTATGTACACTATACGGAATTACTTTTTTCTGAAAAACATCAACTTTCATATTTCTTTAATCTAATCAGCACTATCTTCATCTCAGCATGTTTTAGGTATTCAAACAAATCTTCAATTCTTAAATATCGGTATCAGTATAATCTTGTCCAGAGTCACCATTCTTTCTTTTACTGTCTCGCACATTCTTCAGCACCCATAACTCTTATATGCACACATGCAACGATTTCAAAATAAAAGTATCGCTTATTCTTAACTCACTGAACATTTGTCTCGTTTAACCTTTAACACACAGACCATGCTAAAATAACACACAATCATCCTTGCTGAACCTTACCCTGACAATAACATCAACCCACACACCTAGGAGAATAATATCATCTCTATAAAATCATCCATCAAAAAACTATATGTCCATCAATCATTCTAAACAAAAAAATGTTACAGATGAAATGCAAACTTTAAATCATCAATCGATTCTGCAAAGATTACAGTCTTAATTTTATTAAAGACGATTTCCTCTATATATATAATTACCATACATGAGTGCTAGCAGATTTGTCACAATCGTATTTATTCTATCCTTAGATGTACATTAAGGGACTCTTGTAAATGATATTAAGCCCCAGTCTGTAGCAGTTCCTTCAAATATTAAACCTCTAGTAAGTATTCATAACATCTCATCCTCATCCGCTGTTGTCATTGGTGTTTCTGACTTATCTGACTGATGTTATTAGCTCCAGCTTTTATAAGCTCCTTCACTACACTCATATATCCTCCCTTAGATGCTGCTGTCAGTGGTGTATCATACTTCCCTTTCTGATTGATATCAGCTCCGCCTTCTACAAGCTCCTTCACTATACTCATATGTCCACCCTTACATGCTGCTGTCAGGGGTGTATCATCTCCAGCTTGCTGATCGATATCAGCTCCGGCTTCTATAAGCACTTTAACTACACTCAAATGTCCTTCTGTACATGCTTCTGTCAGTGGTGTATGAAACTTACCATGTTGATTGATATCAGCTCCTGCTTCTATAAGCTCCTTGACTACACTCATATGTCCACCTTGACATGCTACTGTCAGTGGTGTATGCAACCCACCTTGTTGATTGATATCAGCTCCGGCTTCTATAAGCTCCTTCACTAAACTCATATGTCCACCTTGACATGCTACTGTCAGTGGTGTATGCAACCCACCTTGTTGATTGATATCAGCTCCGCCTTCTACAAGCTCCTTCACTACACTCATATGTCCACCTTCACATGCTGCTGTCAGTGGTGTATAATACTTACCTTTAGAATTGATATCAGCTCCTGCTTCTATTAGCTCCTTCACTAAACTCATATGTCCACGCTCACATGCTGCTGTTAGTGGTGTATTATACTTACCTTGTTGATTGATATTAGCTCCAGCTTCTACAAGCTCTTTAACTAAACTCATATTTCCACCTTCACATGCTGCTGTCAGTGGTGTACGATACTTACCTTGTGGATTGATATCAGCTCCGGCTTCTATAAGCTCCTTCACTACACTCATGTGTCCACCTTCACATGCTGCTGTCAGTGGTGTATACTCACCTTGTAGATTGATATCAGCTCCGGCTTCTATAAGCTCCTTCACTAAACTCATATGTCCACCCTTATATGCTGCTGTCAGTGGTGTATGAACCACACCTTTTTGATTGATATCAGCTCCTGCTTCTATAAGCTCTTTCACTACACTCATATGTCCAACTTCACATGCTGCTGTCAGTGGTGTATCATACCCATCTTGAGGATTGATATCAGCTCCGGCTTCTATAAGCTCCTTCACTACACTCATATGTCCACCTTCACATGCTGCTGTCAGTGGTGTATGATACTTACCTTGTTGATTGATATCAGCTCCGGCTTCTATAAGCTCCTTCACTAAACTCATATGTCCACCTTGACATGCTACTGTCAGTGGTGTATGCAACCCACCTTGTTGATTGATATCAGCTCCGGCTTCTATAAGCTCCTTCACTACACTCATATGTCCATCTTCACATGCTGCTGTCAGCGGTGTATAATACATACCTTTAGGATTGATATCAGCTCCGGCTTCTAAAAGCTCTTTCACTACACTCATATGTCCACGCTCACATGCTGCTATCAGTGGTGTATTACACTTACCTTGTGGATTGACATCAGCTCCGGCTTCTAAAAGCTCCTTCACTACACTTATATGTCCACCTCTACATGCTGCTGTCAGTGGTGTAGAATACTTTCCTTGTGGATTGATATCAGCTCCGGCTTCTATAAGCTCCTTCACTACACTCATATGTCCATCTTCACATGCTGCTGTCAGCGGTGTATAATACATACCTTTAGGATTGATATCAGCTCCGGCTTCTATAAGCTCTTTCACTACACTCATATGTCCACGCTCACATGCTGCTATCAGTGGTGTATTACACTTACCTTGTGGATTGACATCAGCTCCGGCTTCTAAAAGCTCCTTCACTACACTTATATGTCCACCTCTACATGCTGCTGTCAGTGGTGTAGGATACTTTCCTTGTGGATTGATATCAGCTCCGGCTTCTATAAGCTCCTTCACTACACTTATATGTCCACCTTGACATGCTGCTGTCAGTGGTGTATCATACATACCTTGTTGATTGATATCACCTCCGGCTTCTATAAGCTCCTTCACTACACTCATGTGTCCACCCTCACATGCTGCTGTCAGTGGTGTATCACGAAATAAATATTTCACATTTGTGTTTGTTTGTTTTAAATCGATATACTTAATTAATATTCTTACAGTCTCTAAATCTCCACTGTAACAACTCAATAAAAATAAGTGGTCATGTTCGGGAATAGACTGACTGTTTTTCTGTTTTTGATTTCTTGTATCAGTAAAAGAGTTTGAAAAAAATAATTTGTCTGTGGCATTATCTGTTTCAGAGTTATTTCGTCTCTCGTTGGCTTCATAGATTAATTTGGGGCTAAAGGAATTCCAAAATAGTTCAATCTCTGTTTCTTTGTGTAATTCAGTTTGTTCTAAAATATATTGTAAGATCTGATTGTGTCCATAACAAACTACCCAGCTGATAACCCTCACACTGTATGTTATTTCTATATCATCACCATTCTCATCATTTTTCTCATTCACTAATACACTCTGTCTGCGCCATTCCCTGCTCCTCTCATCACTCTTCCTACTCTTCTCCGTCACACGCTCTCCTTTATTCACTACCTTAGACACATCTTTCTGTTTTGACAGAAACAAAGACTTCAACTCCGTGTAAGACTTGGTCTTTAACACCTCAATAAAAGCCTTACAAACCTTAGGATGTTTCAAAACATTATTCATAAAAACATCATACAGCTCCATATTTTCTATATCCCTGTACAAACGCTCTGCTAACATTGGGTACTGATCCTCTCTTAACCTTATGCAAAGTTCAAATGAGTCCTGGATTGTTTCACTACTTAATGTTTCCTGCTCCTCAGCACTAAATTCTTCATTTTCATCTTGCTTATATTCAACCTCTGGCTCTTCTTTACATTCTTGTACTTTCACGTTATTAGCAATGTAACTACTGCTAATGTATTGCAACAAAAGATCTGGAAACTGACATCCATAATGATACACAAGGATTTCAAAGACAGAGTCATGAATAATGGTGTACTCAGTACCACAGAGTTTTGTGTATGTCCCCTCCATAGCTGCCAATGCTTTAACAAATTTAAATGTATCAGTGTTACTTTCAACTTCACAACTTTCCAATACTTTTGATTTCATTTCCTGGAAAACGTCGTTTTCTGTGTTTTTCAATGTTAATATTTCTTTTGATAGTTTTTTTTCATTCAACATGCACAAGACCAATGTAGCATAGCACAAACTATTTCGCCCTTTCATTTCATTGAATTGTCCTAAAATACATTCTGCTGGACAGGTAAAGAACCTTTCAACATTGCTCTTAAATTTCTCCTCTTTTGAGTATAGTTTACATAATAGAGGAAACATATCTAATGTTTCTCCAAGTAATGTTGGGGACAACAAATCTCTATCCAAGCCGTGTTTCTGAAGAATCGCTTTTTTGTCTTCATCATTCAATGCATTTTCGGGACTATGCATCTTAATTGTGTTTGCCTCATTTACGAAAAATGATTTGTAACATTCATTAAACACTGCTTCCCTACATGACATTAATACCTTTGTATTTCTATTGGACGGATCTGAAATTCTTTTTTCATAGTCTATCAATGACTCTAACTTTTGTTTTTGCAGACCTAAAACACCTACCACATCATCAATGACAAAAACCTGAGGATTATGGGAGTCACAATAACGGTAAATCTCACTGATGTCTATAATAGGTACGACCTCGTATTCTTCCTTCTGGAGTATGAGGGCTATGTGATGAATTGTTGCCGATTTTCCAGATCCTGGGACACCAACAAATGTCATGTAAGGTTGCCTTCTGACTTGATCCAACATTGCAGGGAAACTGTGGCTTTCACTGTAAACCACATCCTCCTCTTTCCATCGTATGACATCTTTTTCAAAAACATCTATAAAAAATTGTAACAGCAAGATATTTTATAATTTTTTTTATCTTGTCAGTTATATAATTACTCGCATTTCATAGTAATTAAACGTTTTACACATGAAAAATAAGCAGATGCCTAACAAAGTATGGTGTACATGCTTGTGGTTATAAGAAAGATAAGTTTGCAGGATTGAATTTGAAGAAGTGTTGCAATTTAAGGATTTCTGTAGAAATTTAAAAGTTTCTAGATTTGAAAATCAATTATGATTTAACATAGATTACATTGTCAACTAAATTTTCAAAACTTTCTAATTTTAATTGATAAAGCCTATTAACATGTTGAAAATATCCATATTTTCATTTACCCGTGCTTTCACCTAAATTGTATCTTTAAAGAAATTTTCGATCTGAATAATGATATATATTTTTTAAATGTTAACTTATTGTGAATCCATTGCTGTATAATTCATAACATGAATAAAATAATCGGATTCCTGAAAGTTGAACTTTAAAATCTGAAATACACTCCTGTTCAGTTTATAAGTGCTTGATATTGAAACTTCTAATAAGAACAAGATTGTAAAAAGGTAATTTAGGATTACTACATTTTTATAATAAAATAAATTTTATGCCACCTCTGATCTGATCCCACCTCTAATTTGATCTGATGTTTCCTCTGTTCTTAATTTGTATTTTTTTATGGACTTTGAGATTGAATACTGTTCGTTATCTCCATATCCTTCTTGCAGCAAAATTCTTTTTTCGTGAATTTTCATAATTGATTAAAATTTCATATTTTTGGGAACATTTTTTTTTATATTTAAACTTTTCAAACCAGCGACAAATAATGTTTGTTTGTTGTTTAATGTCTCTCTCGAGAATTCTTCACTCATTTGGAGACACTACCATTTGTCGGTGGAGGGTTGCAAATTTAAACCTATACTTGGCACTAAGGTCCCTTGAGCAGGGAGGGATCTGTTTCATGCCAATACGTACTGAGACATGGGACCTAGGTTTATACGGTCTTATTGAAAAGACAGCCCTTATGTCCTGTAGTGGATTTGAAACCGAGATATAAGGATCAGCTTCCTATGCTGCGACTCTGGAGAAGACGCTCTAAGAACTGTGCCAAATCAGACAAATAACGTTAATTATCAAGAAAAAAAATCTTTTACAAATTTACATATGCAAGAGCAAAAAATAATTCTTTTACAAATTTACATATAAAAGAGCACTGGCCACGGTAGCCTTGTGGCAGAGCGTTCGCCCGGGTTTGATTCTCGTTTGCGGCGCCGTGTCATACCTAAGACGTAGACAAAGGTAGTGACTGTTCCTTTGCCAAGCGCTCAGCACTAAAAGTGAAAGTCATGGGTCTTTCGATATGACCTAAAGAACGTAGTACCATGTGACGATAAAGAACTCTCACTTCTCAATGGCCCTGGGTGCCAAATAGGTTTAGTCTGCATCATCCATACACATGCATTTACCTCCACAAATTGTTTGTGGGGGTAAAAACAAACGTCTGGATGATGCAGACTAAATAAAGATCTAAATTTGAAGCCCTTTACCTGGGTACGGTAATGTCTCTATATGATTGAAAAATTCTTGAGAGGGACGTTAAACAATATACAATCAATCAATCAATATACAATAGCAAAAAAGGTAGATTTTATAATTTCTTATCTCTTGCACAATTCTGAAGGAAAGGAATATATGAATTCTTCTTATTATGTATTTCAGAAAGTCCTTCAAGGTGTATTGATACTAAAACGTTTGAAATTAAGTTTCAGATTAAAATTCTGAATCATTTTAATATAATTTGTCAATTCCATTGACACCATGGGAATATAAACAAGAATGTACATACAATATGTTGTTTTAAGTGAAACAAGTCAAGCTAATTAATTTTTGTAAAATATTTCAATTTGCCAATTATTATTTTTGAATTCACTTACATACCTTTGACATTTGGAGGGATTACCGACTTTGGTTTTCTTATTTCATCTGAAAAAATAATAAAACAGGATTATTAGGTGGCATATTTATGAAAATTATTTTCTTTTATTTTGTGGTAAAAATCCACCTTTGCCAAGCTAGACTTCATTATTTTTTCAAATACAGTTAGATACAGTACAGGCCACGAGTTTTCTGCAAAAAACACGGGGCCCCGTGGACCGCAAGTCCAGGCTTTAGCGTGGACCTCGAACCTTGTCGGCGTCTTTGAAGTCAGCGTTTCTGTGGACCGTGTAACACGGTGTGTAACAGTTCTGATGATAAATATTTTAAACATTTTCATTGCCCTTATCTAATCAAATTAAATCAACTTTCTTTTGAAATATTTATTGTACTTTTCCATAAATTAATATTGGTAACATATCACAAAGTCATACAGATTTTTAAACTTGTAAGATGCCTTAAATTTAATAACAATTACGTAATCATGTCCAGCAAAAAAATGTACAATTACGTTTCAAGGTAAATCCTAATTATATTAGTCATAAAAAGTTCAATAGACTATTATTATATAACATTTAGAGGAAACACACTTTCATAAATGAATTACTAGATTGTCTCTACTTTTGATTTTGATTTTAATCGTGTTCAATTAAATTGTTGATACAAGATTGACTTTTACCCTACATATGCATTCATACGTACAGTTTATATCAGATGCGTGATTATACTAAGGGAATTAATTTTTTGTAAGAATTTAAGATATAAATACGAATCAGACTCGCACATTAATTCTGCTCTTTGATAATTGAACAGATACTCGGCGATTCATTGGACAGGTTCAGATAAGGATTATTATTGCCGTGACCAACATTGAAAAACTGTAATTAATACGTAAAATATGGAGATAAATATTAAATTCGGTTAACTCGAACATCAACATCTACTGAACAGACAGAGATGATAATCTCATAAATTTCTTCATTTAAAAAAGTGATCAACTTACACGCTGAATACAAAAATCACCAGCCGAATTTTTGGCAAATGAAATGCACTTAGTCTAACTTCTGTACGAATATTACTTCATTCTGAAATATGTCGAGTGAAAAATGAAACAAACAAACCAAAAAAAAAAAAACAATTTGAGAAAACATATAGATATATAGCGATTTTTGTAATTGCCCCCCCCCCCCCTTCTAGAAAGCGATACGAATCTGCTTGTTAAAACTTATCCAGAAGTGTGCAAATTTATGTTGAATTTTTTAAATCTTAATCTATTTGATACATGCTTATTTGTGTCTGAAATAGGATAAATAATTAACAAAGAACATGTAAGTTTATAATCATTGTTGTAGTGAAACCTGGAACATGAATTTCGCATGTTAATTATCAGTTGAGTGTGTTATACACTTGCCGTGGTCAGAGCTAAAGAAGTTGGAAAGGTGTGATAAACATACGGCGCCCCTGGCCCACCGGCAGTGACCCGATATATTTTTTAAACAGGTGTGAACTCGGAACTGCCCATCAGATTGTTTCAAATCACAAGAGAAATTCTTTCCGCGTAAACAGACTTTCAAGGTCACCTAGCGTCATAGGACAGGTGGTGCACGAGGATTTTGTGCGTACAGCATATACAGAGAATGAATTTAATTATAGTAAAGAGGTTGAATTTGAACAAAATTTGTGGCAATTAAATAGAATTATAGAATGATTAATTGTGACCTCTGTAACCTAAATGAAGAATCAACAAAAAAAAAATTACAGACTATGTTAGAGGGGGGTTGTATGAGTCTCTCTCTCTCTTTCTTTCTATCGTTCTCTCTCTCTCTCTTATTAGAATAAAGATTTTTTTTTTAAATAATTACTTACACTGAAAGGACTTTAAAAACATAACGTGGTAACACTACTCTATGAAAATAATGTTTGCTGTTACGAGAAATACGCTTTGAAATTATTGCATTAATTTCGTGTTTCTGCTGACGATTTGCGCATCCACATTCAGAATAATATTTTAAGATGAATAAAATACATGTATTTTAATAAGGAATATACATAATAATGCTTGGATCGTACACTAGTACTGTACATGTTAAAACCATGAACATAAACACAGCTCGGATTTTATACTACATACAGTGTGTGTGACACGAATGCAGCTCGACGCCCTTGCGTCTTCCTTTGTCACATGAACTCATGAGGTTAAATTAATATTCAATTAATATAAATTTCATGTTTTTTATTTTGTAACGTGAATGAATAATTTTACTAAAATAAAAATTTCTATACATACAGTTAATTCAAATGAAAATCATCAATTTTTTTTACCGATATCTCAATATCATGCGTACCATTCAGAGTCCAATATTTGATTGAATAAAAACAATTATTATATATTCATAAACCAAAGTTATAGATTATCATCAAAATTTATTACATTTTTATCAGAAACAAACGATTTTGTCTGTAATGCTATTTACATGGTGCAGCTTGGAGAAGAATTTTCTGGACACTCGGTTCCAACACGGAGGGAAAATTACTGGACACGGTGCGACACCGAGGACATTACCTGAGATTTTTCTAGACACGGTGCGGCACGGTGTGCCTACCTGTATATTTCAAATCCACACACACCGTGCTGCACCGTGTACACGGTGTAACACAGAGCGTTTTACACGGTGTTTTTTCCACCGAGCGTTGCGGAAAACTTGTGGCCTGTACTGTATAATCTTAACAAATATGAAACAAATAAATAATTAATTTCAATCAAAAGCAAACTTTTTGTATGATTTTATTTCAAACTAATGGCAAAAGAATACTTCAATAGACTTTTTTCAAGGATTTTGGCTATCATCCACATTCACAATGAAATTGATTTAAATTTTCATTGGTCATTTTAACATTTGAACTTTCATTATGGAACATACTACACTTGGCACAATAAAACTGAATGTGATACTACATTTCACAATATATTAACAAAATTTAATTTACATGATATAATTTTGATATTTATTTGTTTATTATGCACTTTTAAGGTGTTTTTCCCACATCTGTAATAGAGTCTTAGTATCCGTGGATTTATAATCCTTTTTCTTCATAAACTATACCCTTGTATCAGATAAATAGCTAACCATTCTTAGAGTTTAGTTACACCTTTAATAAAGCTAAAAGCAAGCAACACATGCATTCCTTGGAGCACTCTAGTTACTCTATTAGGGCTTTGTGATTAATACTCAATAAGAATGACTCTTAAAAATCTGGGATTTCTACTGGGATATATAAATTTTATAATGTATTCTGCTTTTAGATATAAAATGAATTTGGTCTTTCTGCTTTCCTTCATACATGTTTTTTCTTAACAAGTAAACTACGAGGGTCTTTGTGATTTCTTTCCTTTTTGGAATGAGGCAGTGGTTGGTTGATTTTTTAGCTCACCTGAGCCGAAGGCTCAAGTGAGCTTTTCTGATCACATTTTGTCTATTGTCCGTCCGTCTGTCTAGCTGTCTGTCTGTCCATCCGTCTGTAAACTTTTCACATTTTCGACTTCTTCTCAAGAATCAATGGGCCAATTTTGAACAAACTTAGTACAAAGCATTCTTGGGTAAAGGGGAGTTTAAATTGTTAAAATGAAGGGCCAAGTACCCTTACAAGGGGAGATAATCAAGAAAAGATAAAAATGGGTAGGGGTCACAAAAAAATCTTCTTCTCAAGAACCACTGGGACAGGAAAGCTGAAACGTATGTGGGAGCATCCTTGGATAGTGTAGATTCTAAATTGTTCAAATCATGACCCCCGGGGGTAGGGCGTGGCCACAATAGGAAATCCAAGTTTTACATAGAAATATATAGAACAAATCTTTAAAAATCTTCTTCTCAAGAACCTCGGGCCAGGATACCTGAAACTTATGTGGAAGCATCTTTTGGTAGTGTAGATATTAATTTGTTAAAATCATGACCCCCTGGGGTAGGGCGGGGCCACAATAGGAAATCCCAGTTTTACATAGAAATATATAGAACAAATCTTTAAAAATCTTCTTCTCAAGAACCACTGGGCCAGGAAAGCTGAAACTTATGTGGAAGCATCCTCATGGTAGTTTAGATTCTAGATTATTCAAAATCATGACCCCCGGGAGTAGGGCGGGGCCACAATAGGGAATGGAAGTTTTACATAGAAATATATGAAACAAATCTTTAAAAATCTTCTTTTCAAGAACCACTGGTCCAGGAAAGCTGAAACTTATGTTGAAGCATCCTTTGGTAGTGTAGATATTGAATTGTCAAAATCATGACCCCCGGGAGTAGGGCGGGGCCACAATAGGGAATGGAAGTTTTACATAGAAATATATGAAACAAATCTTTAAAAATCTTCTTTTCAAGAACCACTGGTCCAGGAAAGCTGAAACTTATGTGGAAGAATTGCTTGGGTAGTGTAGATATTAAATTGTTAAAATCATGACCCCGGGAGTAGGGCGGGGCCACAATAGGGAATGGAAGTTTTACATAGAAATATATGAAACAAATCTTTAAAAATCTTCTTCTCAAGAACCACTTGACCAGGAAAGCTGAAACTTATGTGAAAGCATCCTTGGGTAGTGTAGATATTAAATTGTAAAAATCATGACCCCCAGGGGTAGGGCGGGGCCACAATAGGGAATCCAAGTTTTACATAGAAATATATAGAACAAATCTTTTAAAAATCTTCTTCTCAAGAACCACTAGGCCAGGAAAGCTGAAACTTAAGTGGAAGCATCCTTGGGAAGTGTCAATATTAAATTGTAAAAATCATGACCCCCGGGGTTAGGGCGGGGCCACAATAGGGAATCCAAGTTTTACATAGAAATATATAGAACAAATCTTTAAAAATCTTCTTCTCAAGAACCACTGGGCCAGGAAAGCTGAAACTTATGTGAAAGCATCCTTGGGTAGTGTAGATATTAAATTGTAAAAATCATGACCCCCGGGGGTAGGGCGGGGCCACAATAAGGAATCCAAGTTTTACATAGAAATATATAGAACAAATCTTTTAAAAATCTTCTTCTCAAGAACCACTTG